GGCGACGAGGCCAGACGGGCAACAGGGAAGGGCTTAGCCTCACAATTTTCACTAATTTTTAGGCCCCAAATCAAACAATATTACAAGAAGAAAAGGGCTTACCGTTACAATATTCTCCGTAGCAATTATTGTCGTTGCCGTTCGGAGCGTCCGGGAATCAGCAAGCAGCGAGCAGCGGGCGGAGGCGGTCCAGCAGATTGAAGATTGAAATGGGAGTGCCGAGCAATTTGTGATTCTGTGAAGATGGAAAATGTGAGAAAACTGATGAAAATGTGACGATTCTGTGAAGATGGAAGATTGAAGAATTGTGGAATGTGGGATGTGGCGGATGGAGTTAGAGCTAGGTTAAAATTTTGTGCCTTTGATCTCAAACCCAATAAATCTAAACCATTGATTTTGAAAATTATTTTTTGATTTATTTTTGTCTAGTCAAATTACTAAATTGACTTAAGATTATATATCTCACTATATTGTATATATTCTATGCATTGTAATTCTTTTATTTAATTTATTTCTAATTTTCTATGCATATTCTTTTGTTTAATTTATTTTAAATAAAGATGTATTTAGTGTGTTTGATTATAGGGAAAACAATTACTAAATAAAATAGTTTTTAATATTAGACGACCATTTTTATGTAATAGAGTAAGTGAACATAAGTAATTTCATTTTTATATTGTTTAATATATAAAACATACGAAGTTAAAAGTCGCATTCTATATACGGAATACCAATCTATTTGTACGTTTTTTTATGTTTTTTGTTGATTTAAAAATTATTTTCTTAACAAATATTTAAAATTCTTAACTATATCTTAAAGATAAGGGAATACACAAATTTTAAGCTAGAGAGATCATGATACGTATAATAATAATACTTATAAGTAATTAAGTATTGGTAAATTAAATAAAAAAATTATGGGCATATATAATTGGTAAATTCAATATATAGTGTACTACGTTTCAATTAAATTATGATTCATAAATACGTTCTACTTGCTATTCATCTAGGATAAGGAAATTATATTGAAATGTATAATAAATTATAAAAAAATGTTTATAACACATAAGACTGAAATTAATTTATGTGTTTGTTAAAAAATATGTAATTAGATGTACTTTTAAATTCAAATTGACAATATAATATTTATTTGAAATGATATAACGAGAGATATCTAACCATTGGCAAAAAAAAGAAACAGATGTATAGATTTAACACATAACTTATATGTGATGAAGTATGCTATTAGTTTTTTTTTTTAAAAAAAAAGTATGCTATTAGTTTAAAAAAAAAGTATGCTATTAGTTTTTTCGCATATTATACACTATTTTGACGTTTTACGAATTGTCAATGATCATACTCCAAAGAAACAAAGGTAATACGTTGTAGATTTATGCATAGCATTTTACTTGGATAATACTTAATTACTCATAGTTTGTAATAGAGAGATCATGATACGTAAAATAATACTACCTATAACTATTGGTAAATTAAAGAAACAAATTATGGGCATAGATAATTGATAAATTCAACATATAGAATTCTCCTATATTCCAATTAAATTACAATTCATAATTATGTTCTACTTGCTATTCATACATGATAAATAAATTATATTCAAAAAAATGCAAAATAAATTGTAAAACATGATTATAAAATATAACACCGAATTAATTTTTGTTTTTGTTAAGTAATATGACGTACTTTTATAATCAAATTGACAATATAATATTTATTTGAAACAAGGTTTTAAATAGCGGGCTAAAACGTTTAT